ATATAAAAATTTTACAAAAATTAATTAAAACAGTAAAAAGTTTTATTAGTAGCATATTTTATTTTTTATGAAAATCATGTTGTACCACAAAAATCATATGATAAATGAGCTACATATCCTCTACCCTTAAATAGCAATCAATATTTATTAGTTTAAAAAATTTCCCAATATAGAGAAAATAATGCTTCGTACTTATTGTTGAAATTGCTTACAAAAAAAAAAGAAGACTCAAGATAGGTTATAGAATGGCATTTTGACTCAAATACTAATGCATTAATGCATCTTTTTTAAATATCTTCTAAGCAACTTGATCTTTGGATGCGATATAGTAACATATACTTTATGATAATATAGCAAAAACAAATATTTATAATATACTATTATCACTTTTTATTGCTATAGATAACACATATTAATCTTGTTTTGTCATACAATAATATTAGATAATGAAACTATGAGGTCTTATTTATAATTACTTGAAGTTTTACTTAAAGCAACCAATAGGCTTTATCCAAATACTATTCTAACTAATGCAAACCCTCTATGTCCCTCACAATTTCAACTGTTTTATCTTCAATTAAACATTTTTATTGTATGTAGCATATCAGTCAAAATCTTTAAAAAATTTACAAAAGTAAACTAGACTCCAATTAGGATTTGTTTATTAAAGACTTCTTCAAAACTCATAATATACTGGATCTACAAACTTTTGAAAATTAATTTAAATCTTTATTAGAGTATTATCTAGAAATAGCTTAGTAAATAGACAATTATAGGCAAGAGCATATACTTTTGATACTTTACTGCTGGCTCATAGACAACTAGTTGTATTAAATTAATTAATTCTTATATTGTCGTAGTAACGACCAACACTCCTTGTGTAGATAGTGCTAGGGTTAGGTACGATTATGAGTTACCTAATTGGGACTGGGTAATGTCCATGGCGTGATTAGTGATGCATGAATTTAATGTAAAGTCTATTTGTATGTTGCATAATGTGTGTAACCGGATAATCAAGTACCCAGATTGATAATCTAATAAAAGCGTAATGATCCCAGAGGAAAGTTATAGTTAGTAAATTAGTAACATAAACGTTTAGCTTAGTAAATATACGTTCTTTGATATACACAGTAGTATAGGTGGCAGTGCCTGGTACGATACACCAGTGTGCAAAGTGAGTGCTCTGACTAAGTGAATCGAGCCTGAAGACCCCATAACTACAAACGTATATGACACAAGGACCTGGGCAAGACAAAGGTCTTCTCGAAGTAACGTGTTTGTCATACTTGCTAAGTGCAAGTTCAGGAAGGTTGTACCATTGCAATTGGTGAATTCAAGCCTTGGTAGCAAGTCCAAGTTGAAGTTTAACAGAATTAGAGTTGAAAAATGAAAATAAGAATTATCTAGTGATGTTGGTGCAAAATATTGTGGAATCAGTGGTAAGAAAAGTAATGAAAAGCTTGAAGGCTTCTCAAGAGAAATAAAAAAGGCATACATTGCATTTATGTTATGTGTGCCAAAGAAAAGGACATTTGGCTCGATCATGTCCATCGCAAGTTCAACCTATGAATATGATAAAAGAAAAGGATCTGAAAGTACATCTGCGAACAAGTCACTATAAAGAAAATAAAAATGATACGAATCCGAATAGTGAAATCCGAGAACTGAAGATCTTTAGATGCGTGAATGTAGATGGTGAAAAATTAGTTGGATGTTGCTATCATCATGGAAATGGTATTGAGAAGGATGAAAAGGATGAACATAAGATGTTAATTCGTAGTCAAAGATCTGCCAATATGAATGATGAGAATGATGAGATGAGGGTATGCAAAAAGGATGATAATAAAAAGGAGAATGATGATAATGATAAAAGGAGTATAATGGTTTGTTCAATGAGTTTGGGTGAAATATTTAGGGATGAAGTTAAACTTAATAACTTACCCGAAACAAATGGTGAAATAAATTCAATCGAAGATGTTGGATCAAAGGATGATCTTAAAATGAAAATGGTGATTGGTAATGATGTAATCAACAATGTAAAAACTGTTGAACAAGCAATGAATAGAATAATAATGATCAAGCCTACAATTGTAAATAATGGAATGACATTAAGAAGAGGAATAAGTTATGCAAAGCTGATCAGATATGATCATGAAGCTAAATCTGGGGGGAATCGACTGAAAGCGCAAAAATCTTGTAGTAATGTAAATTCTGAATGGATATTGAACTTGTTGGATCAAGTTAGAAAAAGAAGATTCTACGATTGTATATATTTAAATTATATGATCGGCTGCGATGGTGTGAAGCATGCGATATTTGGAAATCGAATCGACATGTGTTTGGGCTTAAAACATTAGTGAAAAAAAAAAACTTTTATTATTAATGTTTGTGCTATATTTTAACATATGTTTGTAATTAGTTTAGTATGGCTTATACATTTGTGTTGGGATATATATTTTGCAAAGGTGAACTTCAGGACGAAGTTCATTGGGGATCTAGCTTTTGTTGTGGTGACGACCAACACTCCTTGTGTTGATAGTGCTAGAGTTAGGTACGATTACAGGTTACCCGATCGAGACTGGGTAACGTCCATGGCATGATCAGTGATGCATGAATTTAATGTAAAGTCTATTTGTATGTTGCATAATGTGTGTAACTGGATAATCAAGTACCCAAATTGATAATCTAATAAAAGCGTAACGATCCCAGAGAAAAGTTACAGTCAGTAAATTAGTAACATAAACGCTTAGCTTAGTGAATACACGTTCTTTGATATACACAGTAGTATAGGTGGCAGTGTCTGGTACGATATACCAGTGTGCAAAGCAAGTGCTCTGACTAGGTTAATCGAGCCTGAAGACCCATAACTACAAACGTATATGACACATATTAAAACTATTATATACTGCAGAAATATAACTTTATATAACTTGTTTAATTCATTAGATTCTTTAATTGCTAGTAAAGATCATTATTATAATTTATTGGCTAAAATCAAATATAAAACCACTAAATATTTATGATACAATATATCTAAAAGTTGATTCTATTCTTAAAACATTTGTTGTGCTCAATATAATTAAAAAAATTCGCTATGAGATTAATTATTGCTTATTTTATTATTTGACTAATATCAAACTGAAGTCCCTGTATTCATATCAGGTAAATAATTAAGTGATCATTTTTATTATAGTCATTTATTAACAATGTTAAATAAGAAAAACATTGGAGGTTTTTTATATATGTTAAAATGACAATTAATTTACTATTATATTACTAAGCTAATATACCATACTTGGAGTTTTATATGTATCACTGCTTATCTTTTATTTTTATTATTTTTATTACAGATACAAAACTATAACATGATATTTGTTGATAATGCATTTGACTATCTATTAGTACACTCTTTTATTCTATTCAAACAAGCAAAAAACCAAGTAATTGAAATTTGGAAAGTAATATATATGACTTGGCAAAATTCTTAGCTTTATATATTTTTGCTTAAAGACTGATTATTTATATGCAGTAGTATGTACTAGTCAATTATAGATATCCTTGTAGACATTTTTTTAGAGTAATAGCATGTTCTTTTATTTCAAAATTTTTTATTAATTTTGTATTAAGTTGTTAGTTATACAAAACAAAGATCTTGGTCTTGTCAACTTATCTACAGTTCTTTTATCAAAACCAGCAGAGGCATTGCAAATTCCAACCGATATATTATGAATGAATAAGTCTAATAATTTATTTTCAAAATCACGCTTATCTTCTATAACATATCTTATATCATCTAATATTACTAAAAAGCAATACAAAAAAAACATTATGCAGAGACTATTAGGATAGCATTTAAAGCAATCAATATTGCTATTGAAAAGAATGATTTATATATTCTTAGATTTTTAAAGAAATATATTTTTAAAAATAAGTATTCACTTGTTGATAATACAACAAGTGAATCTTTCTCTTATTATCTAACAAGTAAATCTAAAGAATGCACTGAATGTAATATAATTTTTATTAAATCTCACATTAAAGTTTCTAAATCTATAAAAAGAACTAAAAGAGGTCGACCACTGAAATCAGCATAGCATCAATCATTATTAGAGACAAAAGTTTAAGAAAAATGACTAAAATTGTCATATAACCCAGTACCAATATATGTGATGAATGTGGTAGTAAAGAGCACAATAGATGGTAGTATATTCAACATGAAAACAAGATCTATAATTTGGCTATTGATTGTGAATTTTGTGATAGACATGGTTATAGAAAAGAATTGTATAATGATTTTATAGAACTAAATGAATTGAATCAGATAATAAAGAAGATGAATGGGAGGTTCAAGTAGTTCAGGTTTAGAAACTAAAACAGATAGTAATGAATAACTGTTGTTCTTAAAATAACTATAATTAGATTAAATATTGATCGGTGTATATTGCTCCAGGTAGGTGCTTGTTGCTTCCAGTTTGGTGTGCCTGACAGAGAATTACTTCCTTAGTCCCTACTGGTTACTTCCAGGAGTTCGTATCTCAAGCCATGTAGCTGCCTCTACCCAATTGGGTAAATATCTCAAGCCTGCATGCTGCCGTAACTAGCTAGTTTCCTGCGACTTTGAAACCCAGGTCTTAACATATCTATTTTGGTAATTGTGCTAATGACTTTACTTCCCAATATGGTGACGAGTCCCCAGGTATATTTCGCAGAATGCTTCTAGTAGTTAATATAGTTGGATGGCATCATGAGGCTTAGAGATAACAGGTGCGTCATCATTTCTCTTTATGATGATTCTCAGCAGTTGTAGCCCCAGATTACCACTGCATGTACTTATACCAGCTATACCTTATTGGTGTTCCCAAGTTCTTTTAACACCCAAAGGCTCCCATGTGGGTATGACCAGAGCCCATTGGATTTATCAACATGTACACGCCTCCATGCTTCAACTTCTTATTGGCTAGTGAGTTCCGTATTGCCAGAGGTGTTCCAAATCTTGTAAGGCCAATTCTTTATCATAGGTCCCTTTGTGTTCACCACATTTCTCACCACTTCCAATTCTAGTTACTGGATCTCCAATGCCACCTTAGGAGTTGTTGGTGCTACCTTGCCAATTTGTGTAATAGAACCTTCTATAATGACCAACATTATACATAGTGCCAACTACTCCACAATGGACCTCCTTCCAGAAATTCCTAATCCAGACTTGTATTCACTTGGACTTCCCACAGCAGATTAATAAATTAGATTCATTATAAAAAAAAATAAAAAAATTTTTTGTTATTTTTTGTTTCTTTCATTTCAAAGCTTTCAAAAAATCGTTGATAATTGCATGAACAATAGAAAAACGAAAGACATATAAATCATTCAAAGTATGATCATTGCCTGGCTATTTTAAAAACTTGTCAAGTAAACATGAAAATTCGAACTTTAAATGTTGGGTTCTTAATACCTTTAAATTAATTAAAGTTGGAAGTATCGATGGACTGAATATTAATCTGATAAACAATCATAGTAGCAAATTGACATATTACTCAGAACTATCAAATAATTTATAATCTTTATGGAAAAGATCTTGTAAAGATTCGTATTCCTGATATTGATAGGCTAAAAATGGATAGACGAGCATTATGACTCAAATCAAGTTTGGAATTTTGGATATATGGTTTTTAGCAAACGAATTAGAACCTTAGGCACTAATGAATTTCCTGAACTTGATATAATTTCAATAAGCAAATTTATTTCTTTACGAAATGCTGGTGCTCAACAAAACTTAACCTGACTAATAAATATTACAAATAAAATATTCAACCAACAAGGTTTAAAGGAAATTGATGGCGGTTATTGTAATTTGTAATAAACCAAATTGTGAAAGTAGGAGTCGTCTTGTTATAAGACAATGCTTTTTGTACTTTTTGTTGTGGTTGTTTTCACGGATGTTTACTCTTCAATATGTAGATTTTAACAATCATAATTGAAGTTATATAAAAATAATTTGATTTGTGTTGCAAATTTTTGCTTTTATTTTTTAATCGATAAACTCATACCTTTACCAATTAAAATATGAAGTACTTTAATTTACAATTTTGAAGCTATAATGTTAATTTTAATTGACAGAAATTTGAAAGTGACGTCTAACAAATATATACATAAAGTTTTTTTAGAAATTTGGTTTAATAGTAATTTGATTGTCTAACTCTAACAGAAATAAATTTAATAGTGTATTTTTTAAAAATCTATAGTTATTAATAATTGCAATAAAATATGACATTATATAAAAATAAATAATTTGATACTATTAAAGCTTTAATACAACAAATAATACCTCATTAATAAAGTCTTTAAAAGCTATTTCATCAATGCTTGTATCAACATTAAGACATTTAAGAGCAATCGTTAATTTATTGTCTCTCTATTCGTATTAAGAACCTTTTCATAATCCCAATGTGACGGAGAAGCAGAACACTTGGTACACTTTGTAAAAGGAATAGAGCTGATGTGAATCATAGTTTATTAAGATCGCAAAGTAAAATAGATAATACAAAAAAAAAAAAAAAACTCTCTTTCGAACGCTTAGATTAGATCGATCGAATCGTCACGTGGTTCACGTGACCCACGTGATGTTCGATCAGGGCCCCTAAAAAATTTCGATATCATTACGCAAAAATTGTTTTGGTAACGACCAAATATTGTTTTTTATTGCGATAACAAAATTTTATTAATTTTG